AAGAGTGAGCTGAAGATGGAGATTGATGACTTGGCCAGCAACATGGAGTCTGTCTCCAAAGCCAAGGTACTGAAATACATGTTTACATTAATTCAAACTTATATGCAAGTATTCGTATTTTAAACTGAATGATAATTATAATTACAATAAGTAGTTGTGTTTCACAACTTGAATTTGTGTTTACACATTTCAGGATTAGTAATAACACACTGCATCTTTTTTCTGAAAGCTGAAAATATTTAGCTCATGCATCTAATACAAGGATCTATAGAGAACTCAGTGCTTGATTCAGTGCTTGATATTGTAATGAAAGATACTGACATTAGAAGGTTTTCAGTTTTTTCCAAATTAGAAATTGCTTCAGTCATACATTTCTTTTTTCCCTATTATTTTATTCCTTCTCCCTTAAGTGCATCAATGATATAATAAATAAATGTGAAGCAGAAGTTTAAAATAATGGCACAGTGTGCCATCATCCTTTTTATGTATTTCAAAAACTGATTGTATGTTAATTAATTGTACAAATATTGGAATAAAGGATGCAGAAATATAGAAAGTTATATCAGTTACTTGACATAGATTAACTTAGCATACTTTAAATCGTTAACTTCATTTTTTTGCTACTCACAAGACTTCAGATGTAATTACGTTAAATCACCAATCATCTTTCATTTTATTCTTCATGCAAATAGGCAAATTTAGAGAAGATGTGTCGTTCCCTAGAAGATCAACTCAGTGAAATTAAGACAAAGGAAGAGGAGCAACAGCGCACCATAAATGACATCAGTGCACAGAAAGCTCGTCTACAAACAGAGTCCGGTAAGACATTTGTGGTTTTAAGACAATAAAGTAAATAGCCAGGAGCTTAGAAATAAGGAGTCAAAAAGGGGTCATAGAGACCTGGGGTCTTGATAGATACTATAACATGCATATGAACATGAACATGATAGAACATAAACCAGCAATGTGTTCTTGTGGCAAAGAAGGCCAATGGAATACTGAGCTACATTAGGAGGAGCGTTGGCAGTAGGTAAATGGAGCAGGTGGCCCTTCCCTGTAAGCAGCACTGCTAAGCTCACACCTTTGGGTGCTGTGTCCAGTTTACACTTGCCAGCGTCAGAGTTGTAGATATTCAGGGGCAAGTCTAGCCCAGGTCCAACAATATAATTAAGGCACTGTAGTTTGAAGGAAAAATTCATCTATCTCCTAAACTAGACTTCATCCCTCTGCTTGCGAGGAAAAATGCAGGAGATGTCAGGAATGTGCACCTCTATACATGTGCTCATGCTGTAAGCTGTAAGTGACCACTAAACTTAGTTCAAATATTAAGTAAAAATAATCAAATAACAAACTAGCAAGAGTGATTAATCTCATGTCCTGACTATAAGATGGATGAAGATCAGTGGCTAATATTCAATGAGAAGAATAAAAAGCTATTTACCAAAATAATTTTCACATGTATTTGATTATCGAGGATAAAAAAATTTAAAATTCATATAACATATTCCTTACTTGACTGCAAATTCTCCCAGGTGAATATTCACGCCAGGTGGAAGAGAAAGATGCTCTGATTTCTCAGCTGTCTCGAGGCAAGCAGGCATTCACCCAACAGATTGAGGAACTCAAGAGGCACTTAGAGGAGGAGATAAAGGTAAGGAGGTTTTCCAAAATTCTGTCTTATCCAGTGGATTTTCCTGACCAAGAGGTTCTTCAGACACATATAAAATTATAGAAACATCATGTTGAGTAGGAGAAAAACCCTAAACAGATATTTAATTTGTTGTGAGTTATTTCCTCTTTCTGACACCTGCCGCCTATCCTTTAAGGTGTTGCAAATTCCCAGCTATTCCTTCCTCATTCTATGTGTTGCCATTATTCTCAGGAAGAGTTATCTAGCGTCCAAAAACTTCACTCAGGACATTTCCCAAGAGATTTCTATTCCTTATATATATATATATGGAATATATCCATCCTTTCGATGGGTTAGGAATTGGCTGACTGTCGCAGCCAAAGGGTTGTGATCAGTGGTTCTGAGTCACGGTGGAGACCAGTCACAAGCGGTGTCCCTCTGGGGTCGGTCTATGGACCGGTGCTTTTCAACATCTTCATCACTGACAGACAGTGGCATCGAGTGCACCCTCGGCAAGTCTGCAGATGACACCAAGCAGAGTGGTGCAGTCAATACACTGGAAGGAAGGGAAGTCATCCAGAGGGACCTGGACAGGCTGGAGAAGTGGGCCCATAAAAACCTAATGAGATTCCATAAGGCCAAGTTGGGTCAGGGCAATCCCAGGTATTTATAGAAACTGGGGGAAGATCTCCTTGAGATCAGCCCTGCGGAGAAGGACTCGGGAGTCCTGGTCGACGAGAAGCTGACATGAGCCAGCAGTGTGCGCTTGCAGCCCAGAAGGCCGACTGTGTTCTGGGCTGCATTAAAAAAGCTGTGGCCAGCAGGGAGAGGGAGGTGATTGTCCCTCTCTACTCGGCTCCTGTGAGGCCCCATCTACAGCACTGCATCCAGGCCTGGGGCCCCCAGCACAGGAAGGACGTGGAGCTCTTGGTCACTAAGATGATCAGAGGGCTAGAGCAGCTCTCCTATGAAGAAAGGTTAAGGGAACTGGGCTTGTTTAGCTTGGAGAAGAGAAGGCTTTGGGGAGACCTCATTGTGGCCTTCCAGTACTTGAAGGGAGCGTATAAACAGGAGGGGGAACGGCTGTTTACGAGAGTGGATAGTGATAGGACAAGGGGGAATGGTTTTAAACTGAGACGGGAGTCTTAGGTTCAATATTAGGAGGAAGTTTTTCACAAAGAGGGTGGTAACTCACTGAAACAAGTTGCCCAAGGAGGTTGCGGATGCCCCATCCCTGGAGGCATTGAAGGCCAGGCTGGATGTGGCTCTGGGCAGCCTAGTCTGGTGGTTGGCGACCCTGCACATAGCAGGGTGGTTGAAACTCAATGATCATTGTGGTCCTTTTCAACACAGCCCATTCTATGATTCTATGATTCTATGATTCCATGATTCTACTATTCTCATCCTAATACAACATTTCCACAGGCCAAGAATGCCCTGGCCCACGCCTTGCAGTCTGCCCGCCATGACTGTGACTTGCTCCGAGAACAATATGAGGAGGAGCAGGAAGCCAAGGGTGAGCTGCAGCGTGCCCTGTCCAAGGCCAACAGCGAAGTGGCCCAGTGGAGAACCAAATATGAGACAGACGCTATTCAGCGCACAGAGGAGCTGGAGGAGGCCAAGTATGTGGAGGGAAAGTGGGGAAGGCTGGCAGAAACTAGTAACAGAAAATTGAGGAGACTGCTGAAGTATTAACAGGAAGAAAATTATGCTGTACTTCAGGATGGGGTGATAGGGAAAAGGAAAATATACCCATGAGAAAATATGTATTAGGAGAAGCAGAAGCACCAAAGCTGTTCAGACACATTAGAGGAGATTCACTAGAGTGAAAAACAGTGAACAGCAGAGAGTGTTTTACTAAAGCCCAGCAGTCAGACATGCAATTACAATGATTGTCTGGAAGAGGCTGTACATGTGGTGTAAATGGGTGTCATGCTATCAAGTGGACAAGACTGCTCTCCAGAAAACATACCGGCTGCACACCACAGCTTCCCATGAACCTGAGAATTTGCTTTCTCACTGGGAATTGTGCTTACAACCTCCCAGGAAGAAGCTGGCACAGCGCCTGCAGGATGCAGAGGAACACGTCGAAGCCGTGAACTCCAAATGTGCTTCCCTGGAAAAGACAAAGCAGAGGCTACAGAATGAGGTGGAGGACCTGATGATTGACGTGGAACGATCAAATGCTGCCTGTGCAGCTCTGGACAAGAAACAGAAGAACTTTGACAAGGTATTCTGGGCTCCAGGCCTGTGTTTCCTGGGCAGAACATAATTGCCGCATCCGAACTCATGATCTGCTTTTCCTCAGATCCTGGCGGAGTGGAAGCAGAAGTACGAGGAAACGCAGGCTGAGCTGGAGGCCTCCCAGAAGGAGTCTCGCTCCCTCAGCACAGAGTTGTTCAAGATGAAGAATGCCTATGAGGAGTCCCTGGACCACCTGGAAACGCTGAAGCGAGAGAACAAGAACTTGCAGCGTAAGTCGCTCAGCCTTTCCTGCTGGCGGGGCTTTCTCAGAAGCTTTCCTGCCCACCTCTCCACCTGGGTCTGTGCCTGCAGTGATGGGAGCAGGCCTGTTATGCTGGTGTCACAGGGCCTTTCCCTGTATGCTCCATATCTGACAATGTGATTGTTCCTTCTTCTCTACAGAGGAGATTTCTGACCTCACGGAGCAGATTGCAGAAGGAGGAAAGGCGATTCATGAGCTGGAGAAAGTCAAGAAGCAGATTGAGCAGGAAAAATCTGAACTACAAGCAGCTCTAGAGGAAGCTGAGGTACCCAGAAATATTTACTTATCTGATTTAGGTCTTGGCTCACTCTCCTTGTAAGTAATGTGAAATCATTCCCAGAAAGAAGAGCATGAGAGTCCTTGCATGAAAGAATAGAGATACTGTCAGAAACATTGCACTACTTTTTAGTGAAGCATCATTTTCAACATTTGTTATCTAAGTATTTAATTCTCATTTATTCTTGTATAGGCCTCCCTAGAACATGAGGAGGGGAAGATCCTTCGTGTCCAGTTAGAACTCAACCAGGTCAAGTCTGACATTGACAGGAAGATAGCAGAGAAAGATGAGGAAACTGACCAGCTGAAGAGAAACCATATCAGAGTTGTAGATTCCATGCAGAGCACCCTAGATGCTGAGATCAGGAGCAGGAATGAAGCCCTGCGGCTGAAGAAGAAGATGGAGGGAGACCTGAATGAAATAGAGATCCAGCTGAGCCATGCCAACCGCCAAGCTGCAGAGGCACAGAAGAACCTGAGAAACACACAAGGAGTACTCAAGGTCCATTGAATAAATGATGACCATTAACAAGATCTTAACTAATATTTGCAATTTTGGAGGACTATGAATCGTATAATTTCTTTCCTTTGTTCTGCAGGATACCCAGATACACTTGGACGATGCTCTCAGGTCACAGGAGGATCTGAAGGAGCAGGTGGCCATGGTGGAGCGCAGAGCAAACCTGTTGCAGGCTGAGATTGAGGAGCTACGAGCAGCCCTGGAGCAGACGGAGCGCTCGAGGAAAGTGGCTGAGCAGGAGCTTCTGGATGCAAGTGAGCGTGTGCAGCTCCTCCACACCCAGGCAAGTCCATGGGTTGAAAGCATCTAATGATTAAACCTGTTTTAATTTTTTAATAAGTACATAACTTCAGCAGACCTGTACCATTACTATTATCAGCAAGGGTCATTCTTCATATAAAAAACTAATAGAACTCTAATTAAAAGCAGGGAAATGGTATTTTACTGAAAATAAGTGATGATATATATGTGTATGACATATATGCCGTATGGTTTTTCTTCAACAGAACACCAGCTTGATCAACACCAAGAAGAAGCTGGAAACAGATATTTCCCAAATTCAGAGCGAAATGGAGGATACCATCCAGGAAGCCCGCAATGCTGAAGAGAAGGCCAAGAAGGCCATCACCGATGTGAGTTGGGGTGCTCCTTCACTGCTGATGGTGGATGCATTCTCCCCAAATATCTCCAGTCACAAAGTGATTCTTTCTTTTCCAGGCGGCCATGATGGCAGAAGAGCTGAAGAAGGAGCAGGACACCAGTGCCCACCTGGAGAGGATGAAGAAGAACTTGGATCAGACAGTGAAGGATCTGCAGCACCGTCTGGATGAGGCTGAGCAGCTGGCCCTGAAGGGAGGCAAGAAGCAAATCCAGAAGCTGGAGGCCAGAGTGCGTAGGACTGGTGTTTGTGCAAGAGTGTGCAATCCCAGGTCAGAGATAGCAGGGAAGCTCCATTGATGGATCTCTCATTGCAGGTGCGGGAGCTGGAAGGGGAGGTTGATGCTGAGCAGAAGCGCAGCGCTGAGGCTGTGAAGGGTGTGCGCAAGTACGAGAGGAGGGTGAAGGAGCTGACCTACCAAGTAAGGCAGAAAAAGCTTTTTCTTACACATCCTTCTCTCAATAAGTCAGAATGTTGTCATATTGACATTGCAATTTCTTTGGTACTGTGATTTCTTTCCATTGTTCTCTTTCATTGGTTAATATGTCTTTTTCTTTGGTCCCACTGGACAGCAGTGCTCTCTGAGGAGTGTTACTACCTTTGTTTCAACTAGAGGAAATGTAAGGGTGGAGGATAGGAACTGTTACTATTACTTACCCTTTTCTGTAGTCTGAAGAAGACCGGAAGAATGTTCTCAGGCTCCAGGACCTGGTGGACAAGCTGCAGATGAAGGTGAAATCCTACAAGAGGCAAGCTGAGGAGGCTGTAAGTATTAGTCTGAGAAGTCAGTCTCAGTCCTGGCAGAACTGGTATTTTGTGTTGGTGTTTTTCTCTGCTTAGCTGTGTTCAAGCCCTTAACATTTATGTTATTTTTTTGTCTGTGCACTATACAATAGCTCAGCGGTTCTGAGTTCTGTTGCATCAGTAGGTGTTGTTGAAGTCTAAGATCAACTCATGTGGGAGCATGTCCTAGCTTCTTTCTTTCACTTTCTTTATCTCACATTTGATAGTTTCCTCTTGAAGAAATAGAAATTGCCTTCCAACAACTGTAACACATAGTTTTATAGCAGGAAATAAATTGAAAGTGACTAAATAGATATAAATCTCCCTTGGGACTCTTTTATGCCCTTGGAATAGTTTTAAGAGGCTCTGGAGCACAGGTGGTCTTCTGTTTGATCCTGTCTGTTTGTGGAGTAGGCTTTGAATGGACCAGACAAATCTGGCAGAGAAATGCCTGGTTACAGTGCTGGTCTTAAAGAAAAGAATTTGGCTTCTTTTAACATGGGACTCCCTAAGAAAAATGGTGTGATGGGGATTGAGGTTATTCATCTCTTGGAGAAGTGGAAAAGCATCTTTGATTTACAGTCTTGCCAGGCTGGTGTAGAAAGCTTTAAACTTGCTCTGTCCCTGGGGGAGGTTTTCAAGGCCAGATTGGATGGGGCCCAGGGCAGCCTGGTCTAGCATTAAATGAGGAGGTCAGTGGCCCTGCATGTGGCAGGGGGGTTGGGGATTCATGATCCTTGAAGTCCCTTCCAACTCTGGCCATTCTGTGATTCTGTGATTCTGTGAAACTAAAAATGCCAGAGGAGTTGCCTCCATCTACCTGACTTTTAAAGAGGTCAGTAAGGAGTATCCTGGGAACTACGACCTGTTGTCTGACCTCAGTACCAAGGAAAGTTATGGAGTAGATAACCTTGAGTGCCATTACATGGCTCATACAAGGCAATCAAGTGATCAGAAATAGCTAGCATGTGAAAGGTAGGTCCTGCCTAACTAACCTTATCTCCTTTGACAAGATGACCTGCTTTGTAGAAGAAGGAAAGACTATGGATATTGTTTATCTAGAAAGCATTATATGCTATTAGATACTGTATAGCATTTGATAATGTTTCCTGCAGTATTCTCCTGGAGAAATTGGTTCATGATGTACATGTGTACTCAGTGAAGAACTGGTTGGATGGCCAGGCTCAAAAAGTCCTAATTAAATAGAGTTAGGCAGGAGAGTTGATCTGCTTGAGGGTAGGAAGATTCTGTAGAGGGATATGGACAGGTTGGATCAGTAGGTTGAATGCAATCACACAGCATTCAACAAGACTAAATGCCAGATTCTGCAGTTGGGTCATAACAACCCCATGCAGGGACAGAGGCTTGGGGAAGAGTGACAGAAAGCTGCCCAGCAGGAAAGGATCTGGGGCTGCTGATCAACAGCCAGCTGAACATGAGATGCTGTTGGCTTGTATCAGAAAGAGTGTGGCCATCTGGTCTAGGGAAGTGATTGTCTCTGGCACTGGTGAGACCACAACTCAAATATTGTGTTCAGTTTGGAGCCCCTCACCATAAGAAGGATACTGAGTTGCTCAAGCTCATGTAGATAAGAGCAATGAAGCTGGTGAAGCAACTAGAAAATAGAACATATGAGGAGCAACTAAGGCAATTGGTGTTTTTAGTCTGGAGAAAAGGAGGCTGAGGGGAGACCATTGCACTCCCTATAACTACTTGAAAGGAGGTTGCAGTGAGAAGGGTATTGGTCTCTTTTCTCAAGTGACAAGCGATGATGAAAGGAAACCGCCTCAAGTTACCAGGGAAGGCTTAGATTGGAATTAGAAGGAATTTATTAACAGAGGATGGATCAAGAACTAGAACAGGCTTCAAAATTCAGGGAAATGAGAGTTCCCATACTCTGAATATACTTAGTCAGTATGTGAATATGGCACGAAGGGACATGGTTTAGTGATGGGTCTCAGGAGGTCAGATTGACAATTGGACCTGATGATCTTGAAAGTCTTTTCCAACCTAAATTATTCTATAATTATATATGTATTGTTTGGAAATTTCAAACTCCATTAGGACAAAAAGAGAGTCTCATATTCCTGTCATGTATTTTTAACGATCTAACCATTTAGCATTTAATATAATAACTCTTTCTTTGGATTCTCTGTAGAAGTACTGGAGATTTTATCCCAGTCTTTGACTCCTCTCTTGTAAAGACAAGATATCACAGAATGTCCAGAGTAGTTTTTCAATATGAAAAAATTACTGTTAAACATTTAAAAACCTATTTTTTAATAAGTTTTAGTGAGTTTTCTAAAGAAATAAGCATGAATTTGATAATCTTCTTTTAGTAAATGTCACATGAACATAGTGAAGGAAAAATGGAAATTATGTTATTTAAAATTTTCTTATCTGATTTCCTTTCCCCAGGAGGAGCTGTCCAATGTCAACCTCTCCAAGTTCCGCAAGATCCAGCATGAGCTGGAAGAAGCAGAGGAGCGGGCTGACATTGCAGAGTCACAGGTCAACAAGCTCCGAGCAAAGAGCCGTGAAATAGGCAAGAAGGCAGAAAGTGAAGAGTAGATGACTCCAGTGGTGCAGATTGAAAGAGAATTGCACAAAATGTGAAATTCTATCGCTTTGATTTGTAATTACTGCTTAGTTCTTCATCAATGTCTAGATAATTAATATTTAGTTAATAAAAACTGTAGAGATTTTCCCATGGAAAATAATTAGTTCACTGTTGTATTTTAATCATTATCCTAGATTCTTATAAGCTTTACATTTTCCCTTATTTACATTTTAATGACGACTGTTTAAGTAATTTGTTCAGTTATCTGGCCATGGTTATTTTCACCATGGAATTTCACATAAGAATTCCTCAAGGGAGAAACCATTATTTCTTTACAACTGAACTCTTCCTTATACATTTTGCTTTAGGAAGATATTGCATTTTAACTAAAAGGCTTTATTCAGGGAACAAAACTTAATTGCATCTTCTGGTAATCTAGTCTAATAACTGATTACTGAATAAGTCATGTAGCTTAATTGCAAGAAAACAATTTCTTTCAGGTTAAACGGTAGAAGGAAGGAATGCCATTCAGAGGAACCTCAACAGGCTGGAAAGGTGAGCCTGGGTAAACCTGACGAGGTTCAACACGGCAAAGTGCAGAGTTTTGCACTTGGGCCGGAGGAATCCCAGGCATCCATACAGACTGGAAGGAGCGGTCCTTGAGAGCAGCCCTGTGGAGAAGGACCTGGGGTCCTAATGGATGAGAAACTTAACACGAGCCAGCAATGTGCCCTTGCGGCTCAGAAGGCAAATGTTATCCTGGCCTCCATCAAAAGAGGGTGGCCAGCAGGGACAGGGAGGTGATTGTCTATCTCTACTCTGCTCTTGTGAGGCCCCATCTGGAGTACTGCGTCCAGGTCTGGAGTCCCCGGTACAAGAAAGACAGAGAGCTGTTGGAGAGGGTCCAGAGGAGATCCACAAAGATGATCAGGGGACTGGAGCACCTCCCCTGTGAGGACAGGCTGAGGGAATTGGGCTTGTTCAGCCTGGAGAAGAGAAGGCTGCAGTGTTCCTCTTTGCAGCCTTTCAGTACCTAAAGGGAGCCTACAAGCAGGAGGGGAATCAACTCTGAAAGGGTTGATAACTGCAGGACAAGGGGAAATGGTTTGAAGTTGAGCGAGGGGAGATTGGATGTCAGGGGGAAATTCTTTACAGAGACAGTGGTGAGGTGCTGGAACGGCTGCCCAGAGAGGTTGTGGATGTCCCATCCCTAGAAGTGTTCAAGGCCAGGTTGGATGGGGCCCTGGGCAGTCTGGTCTAGTATCAAATGTGGAGATTGATGACCCTGCCTGTGGCAGGGGGGTTGGAGACTGATGATCCTTGAGGTCCCTTCCAACCCCAGCCATTCTGTGATTCTGTGACATTTATACCTAAAGTGAAAACTACTTTTAATTTTTGTTCACGAAATTGATATGCAAACATACATTGCAAGGGCAGCAATACAAGCTATCTCATGTAGTCATTCATCCTGTTTTCTAAAGCTGGCTATACATTCTAAGCTGAGCAGGGAGATACTGTAGAAAAGCAAACCATAATTAATCTTTTAAAGCCACTTCTAGTTTTATAAATTCCAAGTATATTTCTCTTCAGGACAAAAACTCCTGTTTGGCATACTACTATTTTGTCATCTCACTTGCTTTCTTTTACATGTTGTTTTTGAACATGTACAGACTGATAAGAAATATCTGCAGGATTCTACTACTGAGATGCTTTTATTATAAAAGTTTTTACTCATAGGAGGATCTTTTCTTTCTCTATAGGTGTTCACTGCAGGATACAGTCCTATCTTCAGGCTAGGCAGGGACAGCTTGGACAGACAGAGGTACAAACAAACAGAATCAGTGCAACCAGATAATGGATCCAGGAAGAGAAGATCTATACAAAATTAGGTTACATTATCCTTACTACTTAGCCATTGGACTAAGTCCCACCTTCATAGCTATTCCATAGGCCTGGATGCCTATATATCCCACACAGAGCATATGACCACCCTAAAAGACCAAGACAGAGGCTGTATACTGCATGCAGAGAAACTGTCCCTGAAGTATTCATTCTAACAACAGAGCCTTCTACTGCACCTCAGTTTGCAATTCTCACTGATCCAAATGTATCCATGCCATACTGCTATATTTATACCTTCCCTTTTATTCAGAATAGGACCAGGTAATGTTTCATCAGCAGCATGATTCTGAATGTAGGGTGGATCTCCTCCTCAGACTCTAGGATCTCTACCATTTAATTACAGAAACCAGGCTGATAGGTCAGGTCCATTGTATCAACCCAACATGGCAACTCATCCAGGAGTGGGAGTTTATACACCTGCTGGCAGCAGCAAATAGTGTCATTCCTGTGGGACAAAACCCACCTCATCACTATGGTGTGGTCCAAGCACTGTGCAGCTCAGTTACAGCAGACTTTCTCTGACTTGTCACAGGTCTTATGTACACTTCAACTGTGCCTGACAGGCTGAATATGAGTAGGCAAATCCTAAAAGAATAGGCTGGGTAACAGGTTTCCCCCTCCTGTCACACCTTGAGAATACTGAAAGCAGTGCTACCAAGGATCACTGAGTCTCTATATCCACATCATCCCAATTCTGCCTTCTCTGTAACAGAGGTAGTAATAGGGAGATACTGTCTTAATATTACCTGAAGTGATTCCAGTATTGTGCTGTGCCTGTTGCAAAACTATGGCATAATTCAATGAAGTATTAAAACACAGTGGCAATAAGGAAATACACCTCCGGTCTGATCAAACATTTCCAGCAACAAACATGGAATGGGTTGGAAGGGACCTTAAAGATCATCCAGTTCCAATCTCCTGCCATGGGTGGTTGCCACATATCAGCTCAGGTTGCCCAGGGCCCCATCCAGCCTGGCCTTGGGCACCTCCAAGGGACACTACAGTCCTCTGGGAGGGTTTAGAGATACAAATGTAATCCTTACCTTCCTTAAAAATATTTTGTGCTTTTTGTCCTTTCACTACCTCCTTTATTTCTATACATTCTTTCATAGTTCTTTCTTTGAAATGAAAATTGTAGCTGTAAGTACTATAAATGCTTGTATAATATACATGCAAATACTGCCAATAATGTACACAGTATAGCTACGTAATTCCCATACACTGTGAAAGTATGTGCTGTGTGTGTGTGCCTGCTGGGATACATCTGCAGCCAGGGTTGGTGGTGGCGGTGCAGAGTCTGGTTGGAGGCCTGTAACCAGCGGTGTTCCCCAGGGGTCGGTGCTGGGTCCAGTCTTGTTCAACATCTTCATCAACGACCTTGATGAGGGGATAGTGCCCATCCTCAGCAAGTTTGCTGATGATACGAAGTTGGGAGGATTGGCTGACACACCTGAAGGCTGTGCTGCCATTCAGCGAGACCTGGACAGGCTGGAGAGTTGGGAAGTAAGAAACCTGATGAGGTTTAACAAAAGCAAGTGTAGAGTCTTGCATAT